GGGGATGCTTTAGGGCGGGGCTACACAGTGATTGACAGGTCTCTATTAGAGACGTATGCGCCGTCTCTACGTCACTCCTCCTCAGTCCAGATATGAGTCGCCCCCTGATGGACATTAGAGAGAATGCAGCTTTAAGACACTTCAGCATTCAGGTTGCCGTCTGGTTCTTCTTAAGCACGATGTTCATTTATTAAATCAGGAGGAAGAGTGATCGATTTATTCGTCACGTAAATTGCGTACTTTTTTTACGACACTTCTGTAGTTATTTTAACACAAACTACGATCTTTTCCTGAACGTAACTACGTAGTTTTATTACCTAAACGTAACAAAATTGTTTCCTGTGAAGACAGAAGATTAGACTTTCGTAGGAAAATGCATAAAACATGAGGAGTAACTTTTTGTAAGATATCATCCGAACTGTTGTATGAGGATACAAGTTCAAATATAATTGTCCTCGTGCCATCACAGAAGCACAGAGCATGTATGTGAGCAGTACCTGGTGATGGATGCTTCCCAGAGGACTGACTGGATTGTCTCCTGTTTTCTCTTCCTGCCTCAGAGAGACTCGTGGGAGCAGTCGGTTCCGGAGCCGGTGTCCCAGGTGGAGGCTCTGTGTCCGGACGGCCTGGCCTCTGTCAGCGTCCCGCCCTCCATGCCCAGCCCAGATCCCCCGGGGAGCCCCTCCCAGTACCGTTCCCCGGGCCGGGGCTCCTCCATGGGCCCCGGGAGCCAGCCCTACACCCTGCACCCCCTGGAGGAAGCCCACTACCACCCTCTGACCACCAGCGGCTCCTACCCGGTGCCCTCCGCCTCCTTCCCCTGCCCGTCCTACATGAGCACCCCCATCAGCGACCTGGTGACCAAGATGGTGACGGAGGAGGCGGCCGACGGCCACGCCGGCCTCCCCCCCGGCGGCGAGGCTCACCCCTCCTGGGCTAAAGAGGACGGGGTGAGCTCCTGGTCTCCCTACGAGATCAGGAGGGCCTACTGACTCCAGGGGAGCTTTTCACAGACTATTAAACAATGAACTCAACGAGAACTCTGCAGAACGGAAAAGTGATCGGACAATTTCATGCATTTATGAAGAGTTCTGATAGAGAGAGTTCTTGATCTGACGGGAGATTCCTTCTTTTTTGTTACAATAAAAACATAAACCATAAGCCTTAACGTTAAAAACTAAAGAATATTTGCGTTGATGTTTTTAAGTTGGTCGAATAGTTTAGGGGCGTCTCTGTCATGAAATTTAAACTTCTGCAGTTTCAGGGTTTTTCAGGTTCAACTACTTTGAAAACAATATAAATGATGATTTAGTGAAATATGTACAGCAGTTATATCCTCATGTTTGTGTTTACGTGAAAATGAACGTACGAGATTTCAAATTGGTTGTGAGGCTGATATTCAGAAAATAATCTCTGTGTCAAACAAACATTTATGATTCTTCCAGATTTAGTTCATCAAGATAATCTTCAGTGAACTTTATGATGTTTAGAGTGTAAAGTAAAAAGCTGACATGTCTGACATCTAATCAATCTAATCAAACTCCTCGTCCTGACTCCTCGTCTTGACTCCTTGTCCTGACTCCTCCTTCTATCTCCTCCTTCTGTCTCCTCGTCCTGTCTCCTTGTCCTGACTCCTTGTCCCGACTCCTCGTCCCGTCTCCTCCTTCTGTCTCCTCGTCCTGTCTCCTTGTCCTGACTCCTCGTCCCGACTCCTTGTCCCGACTCCTCCTTCTGTCTCCTTCTGTCCCCTCGTTCTGTCTCCTTGTCCTGACGCCTCTTCCTGTCTCCTCGTCCTGTCTCCTCGTCCTGTGTCCTTGTCCTAACTCCTCGCCCTGTCTCCTTGTCCCGCCTCCTCGTTCATCAGTGAAGATTATCTTGATGAACTAAACCTGGAATAATCATAAACGTTTGTTTATTTTCTGTAATAATCTAAAATCAAATGGAACAATCCTATTGGCTGCTTGTGGAGGGAACCCGTGATGATGACTTCCTGTTTGACTACAGAAACCTACTGCAGAAAACAAGACACAAGCGTGACCATGAACAGCTCCAGGATCAGTGTCTCGTCTGAGGAAAGACACTTTCATAGAAAACATGGCGTCAAATAACATCCTGTTCTGCTCTCTGCTGGTAACACGTGTTAACCTTCGTGTGATTTAAAACCACCTCATGAACTACTAATAAAAGCTTTTAACACATCATTACTCACTAAACTGTAGCTTTTAATTGATAAACGGACATTTTTCATGTTTAATGTTTTCTTTGAGTAAATAAAAGGTCTTTAGCATCCAAAACAAAGACAAAAGACATAAATTAATGCTTCATCTTATCAAAATGTACAACCATTCGTTCACACATCTTGTAACTTCAGACAGAAAACTCTTCTTCCAGATGTGAGTGCATCATTTACTCATCTGTTATTAGAGGTTAATACGTTTTAATACCACAATAAACATGTTCAGCATCATAAAATGGTTTAATTATAAATGATACAAGATGTAATACAAATATATTAAGAGTGTACACATTCACAGCTAACTTAAGAGATGCATTTAAAAGTAGTGACGACATGTAATTATATATAATAATATACGTTATAATAATATAATAGTTTAACAGTCGTCATATCTACACTACTGTGTGTTATCAACCATCTGATCGTTACTGTTTCTAAATATTAAATATGTTTTATCCAAAAGTCTTGTCTGAGAAGAAAATCTGATTAATATTGTCTGAACTGTAACAACGTCTATCTTTAATAATTTCTACGTTTTCAAGGAAAATTGAACTTCTACTTCTATAGAATAAGGGCAAATACAACAGGCTTCACACTGTGTATATGTATATATATATATATATATATATATATATATATATATATATATGTGTGTGTATATATATATATATATATGTGTGTGTATATATATATATATATATGTGTATATATATATATACATATATATATACATATATGAGGAAGAAGTTCTGACTTCTGACCACCAGGTGGCGACAAAACATCACCGCTGAAGAAGAACGAGAGGAGCCACGAGAGAGAGAGGAGGGACGAGAGAGGAGGGACGACAGAGGAGAGAGGAGAGAGGAGGGAGGAGGGAGGACAGAGGAGAGAGGAGAGAGAGGAGAGAGGAGAGAGAGGAGAGGAGAGAGAGGAGGGAGGAGAGAGGAGAGAGGAGAGAGGAGGGAGGACAGAGGAGGGAGGAGAGAGGAGAGAGAGGAGGGAGGACAGAGGAGAGAGGAGAGAGGAGGGAGGACAGAGGAGAGAGGAGAGAGGAGGGGGGACAGAGGAGAGAGGAGAGAGGAGGGAGGAGAGAGGAGGGAGGACAGAGGAGAGAGGAGAGAGGACAGAGGAGAGAGGAGAGAGGAGGGAGGACAGAGGAGAGAGGAGGGGGGACAGAGGAGAGAGGAGAGAGGAGGGAGGACAGAGGAGAGAGGAGAGAGGAGAGAGGACAGAGGAGAGAGGAGGGAGGACAGAGGAGAGAGCACAGAGGAGGGAGGACAGAGGAAGAGGGAACTTTATGAAAAGTGTTTTAAATCACCAAAAAGGAAAATATGAAACACAAACATGTGATATTGGTCAAATTACAACATTTTATTTAAACAGTGGAAATACTACTATACCACCGCCACTACTACTACTACTGTGACTACTACTACCAACACTACTGGTAATTATACTACCAATAATAGTAATAATAGTCATCATGTAGTTATGGTAATATTAATAATTATAGCTATGATATCTACTGGGCCTAAAACAATAATAATATGCTACTAATAATAATAATAATTCATATTATTATTATTTTATGATTATTTTTATTATAGTCATGATAATAAATATGCCTATAATAATACCTATAATAGGTTAAAACTACTAATAATAATCATAATATTATAATAATAGTAGTCATCATGTAGTTGTAATGATATAAGTCATACATGGACTATACTAATATGAAAATAGATAATACTACTACTAACAATAATAATAATAATGATCATTTATTATTGTTATTGTTATTTATAATAAGTCCAGAGCATCATTCTTCACATGTTGATGTGAATATCTTGATGCTCAGAAAAAAAGCTACTGAACTTCTCGATTCAACCTTCTGTAAATGAATTTAAGATAAATGATATTATGATATTAATAATATTCATCTTCAATCAGCTGCAGTAAACTTGGACGGAAGTGATTTGGTTCTGAGATAAGAATATATATTGTAAATATAAAAACTGTGGATTCTTCACCGGGAATAAAACAATTTATTGTGCATTAAATGATCTTTAAAATATTCATATTTAATATAAAGTATCGGGAGCTGAACAGCAGCAGGTGACTGAGCTCAGAGCTGGAGGCCTGCGATGCCAAAGATGGCTACTGCCCTTTGCCACGCCCACTTCTCTGCCACTTTTTTCTGTTTTTCTCTAAATTAAAGCTTAAAGATATGTTTGCAGATGCCTCAGCGGGCAGATTTTACCGCAGCAGATGCGTGATCGCAGACGCAAACAGTGCGGTGCGTGTTAAAAGTGGCGCACACGGAGCACCAAGTCCTGTGGAGCTTAATGAGGGGGTGTGTGGCTCTGATATGGCAAAAGGAGGATAAAATTAATAAAAGTGTGGTTTCTTAATGGTCAAAGTGTAAAATAGATATATATTACATTAAAGTGGTGCTTATTAGATGAGCATGCGGGCTGATTTTTAACGAAAAATCCATAAAACTCTCTTGCCTCTGAATATTCAAATTGAAAGTAACGCGCAATCAAATCATTGTCAAATCATTGAGTTCTAGGGGTTTTAAATAGTAGGCATGGAGGCAGAAAATCTCAAACTAATATGTCCCCAGCTATATTACTATATTGGTGTATGCTCTGCCTCTGCTGTGGGACATTTGTATTGAGATTTTTGGAGACTTTTGCACAAATTTCGTTCTTGGCCATTTAGCTGAGGCAGGAAAAAAAGACGTTGTGGAGTCCCACGGGTCTGCTACTGGAGGGAAGCTCTCCCCACCTCAGCCATCATGTCTGGTGAGTTTCTTTCCACTGCGGGGTTCTTCATCTGGAAATGTTTTTCTTCCCTTTTGTGGCATTTAGTCCTGTTAAGACAGAAAAAGAGAAAGAAGAAGAAAAGAAAAGGAGAGGGAGAGACAAAGAGGGGGGATGTTTAGTGGCAACATTAATAAGCAAAACAGAGTAGAGCTTTTTTTTATTTATTAATCTCCTATTTATGTTGATTTTAATCACACATTCTAAATAAAATATGAGATGAATAACTGTTAAATGAACCTTTACGCCATTACTCTTTCTACTTTACCTCCACCTGCTTAGTCTTTCTGTTCCAACCAAACTGTCCTAAACACATTTACCGACTTTTATGATTTGATAATATGTTCGATTTTTACACATTATGACACCAGAAGAGCGTTTTTATTAAAACATGAATGACTGAACGTTCTCTCTCTGTGCTCGTGCTGCTCGTGCGTAAACAGGACGTTACCGCGTTAGAGTGGGATGTCTCTGCCGTGTACTTTTGCCCCTCTATTTGCCACATTTAAGACTAATCATGAAGAAGCATTTAGCGCTATGAATATTTATCAGATGATGTTTCGCAGCCCCTCGTTTTTTTTTCTTCTTCCAGAAACGACTCGCCACTCCTGATGTGTTTTTTAAATGTACGCCTTTAGGCCTAAATTACGTGCAACCTGTGCGAGGCGTTCTCTGTGGGTTCATTCATTCAGATTCACCTCCAGCAATAATACGGACAATTATTCCTCCGAATGTCAGAGTAACGCAGACGGGGACAGGCTGATTTGAATAAAGGCAAATTGGAGAAGAGCTTGAGTTTGAATTGTAAACACAAATGTCCCGTCAGTATCACCAACAATCCGATCAAACTGAAGCACGAGCTCAGCGGTTAGGAGGCGACCGGACGCCGGTAACGTGGAGCCGAAATGCATAAAACTTAGAAAGTATTTTTGGTGGATTAGCCGCAGCGCTGCTTTTACCCGGTACTTTACTTTGTTGCACAACTGAAGCTCCGATCAACAAGTTAAAACAGCTAAAACGTTTCGTCACCGATCGGTTCACGGACTCTTTTCGGCTCTCTGTTCGTGCGTTTTACGCAGCGCCTTTATCCAACTTTACCGAACGATCCGACGCGTATTCCGACCCTTCTAGATCGATCCGGGTTCACCGTTTCAACGAGAATCTTTCTGAACATGATCGTGAATCAATAAATATACTTACGGTAGCGCGTTTCGTGCCGCAGTCCTTAGTTCCTGGTCTCGCCGTGTTGGGGGGGCTGCGGAGCGCAGAACGGGCTGCTGACGGCGCAGTAGGAAGCGCTGAGCCTTGTGGTGCCGTAAAGAGGGAAGCTCCTCGGGGGGCAGTGGACTCGGCACACGCGGAGGGGAAAAAGACCCGGAGCCACGGCGGCGCACTGACCGCTGATATAACGCACTTTTTACGCACTGCGGATCCGGACACAACTTTGACATTTACGCGCTGAACACAGACAAAACTACAGTAAATTGTTTAATATAACACGTTTAATATAAAGTTTCCAACTTTGTACAGCACAAAACATTA